CCCTATCTGGGGCTCAACAGACAAAGGACAAACGGTGGGGCTGAAGCGGGTAGCTTTGCAACCGCATGCACAGTCCAGAAGTGTACCATTCTTGAACCCCTGGTCATGCCCAGACCGGACCTGCGAACCAGCGAATGTTTTTTCCTTCTATTCTGTTTTTTTTTTGTTAGTCCTTATCTATGAGTGAGTGAGCCATTCTGAATAAAAGTGTTTCGAAAACAAGAAGAATAGAAAAACTGTTGCTCTGTCTAGGAAAGTATCACGTCCAATGTAGCGATCATGCAAATATTAAAATGCACCTTATACGGCAGAGAATACGGCAGTTGAACTTTTCCTTCACTTTACAGTGCTTCGTATCAGCGCTGTTACGGCTTCAATTTGTCGGAAATGGAATGCGCAGCCCACCATAGCCCCCGTTCGTAAAAACGCGAAAAAGGATTTGTCACTGTTTTTGTGAACAGATAAATATTCATGAAAATATTGCGTGCGTTCACTGATTGTGAGTCATGTCTGAAAAATGAAGTGGGCTAGTTGTATATAACCATTTTCTCAGCGCTGAATTCACCATCAATCAACTTTTGCCATTCAGTCTCTTTTCATTCGAAGACATCATCCACAAGTAACCAAGGTGTTGGTCGGTGCACAACACGATGCTGTCCCCGACCGCAGAGCATGCCCTCACTTACGCGACTTGAAGGCAAAGACCGCGATTATCCGCTTCCACAGTTAGTGATTAGGGGTTTTTCATATAAACGACAAGGTGCTGAGCAACCCGATAGTGAAGAAAAAAGCAGAAAATAACGTGCCAACTGCCCTAGATAGAACCCCATTCCGATCCCAGTTTTACGCGCGCCAATGAGGCCTATATCTTTCAACACAACCTTGCCATACCGCATAAGCTTGAATTCTCAAGAAGAACATGACAATCGTACAAGTGACGATTTTCCTGCTTTTTCGTCCGGCACCCTCGTTTTTTACTGGAGGGCGAGAATTGAAGGCGGAGTCTCTAGAGGCGATAGCTCCCGGAGAAAGGAGGCGTACTTGACCTATATTCGCTATAAGCCCCTCAGCTTACCATTTTTTGATCTGCGAACATGTTAACGAGGTTGATCTTCAACGACCACATACACACCTTCCAACACACATAATTAAGACTTTGTGTCACTGCTGCTCGCAGACGCGAGATTTTCAAAAACCAACATAGTATGGTCGCGCAGCGCTTAAGGCACGATTCCGCGGATATAAATTAAGGCTGATGACCTCTCGAATGTGTTCGGAACGATCCGGAAGGACGATTTTTGAGGCTAGCGTTTACTTCAGATCGTGAAAAAGCGGGAGAATCCGCTAGAAGCTGACTAATTAGGCCCATGGACACCCCTTAGGCCCATGCCGACCCCTCACCGGCTGCTAGCTACTAGCTAGTAGCCACTATGTTATCTTTCTCTATAACATTTCGGACTGCTTTTTCTGCTGCTTTTCTCCGCTAATCAGATACTTAGCACTTTTTTGTGCCTATTTGAGTTCCGTTTCCCGCAATTTGCGGTCGCGGAACTGTGCCTCACGACGACAACCCCTGTGTCTCCTGATCTGGGCCTCATTTTACATTCCATATTGTTCATGACTATATATGGTGATATTCGCTAATCTCTTCATGCTGTTATTCATCGTTGTTATCGTTGTACTTTTTTACGCTCAATAGCGTGCTTGCAACGCTTTTGATCGTGTCGGTCTTAGAACTACAACGATCTTATTTAAAAGCGGCCTTCGCATGGTTTCAATTTCAACATTTTCCTCGCTGTTTTGTTACTTAAAATCTCGACATTTGCATGTGAACCCCGCTACCGTAATTGCAGACAAGCGTTCCTCGGGAAACGGGGAGTAAGGCCTTGAGTAGGAGTGATATTGAGTTGAAAGGGGTATGCTGCACGATAGATTCTCGCTGCCTTGAATGTATAATACACGTTCGATAATTGCGGCGAATCAGTTAGCCCATTGCGGGGTGGCGGTCAGGATGCAGGCGTAGTTTGCCGTACGGCGTGGGGGGGCATTTGTAACGCCTTGGTTGTTTTCACTACTCCTGGTTCACAAGTCTCACTCTGGGTGAATCTGTGAACGTTCATTGTGAAGCTGGAGCAAGCCCGTAGTACATTATGGTAAAATTTTCACTCAAGAAGAAGCTGTCTTCATTGGTGCGACACGTCGATGGACTGTCGCTTATAGTGCAAGATGCCCCCCCCCACGTTGCGCATCAGACCAATATACATATCATCAGTCATGATCCTGCAGACGATGGGGCCTTTGAATGGGCGTGTTTTGACACGCAACCTGTGAAGCCCTCCACACTATCTGTGGCGGGTTTGGAGCGATATTTCGTGGCCGCGACATCGGCTAACGCTGTTCACGTAGAGACGGGGTAGACCCGCAGGGTCTGCTGCCCGTGGTTGAATGGTGGTCTATCTCTGTGTGATGCTGCACACGTCACTCTATCTGCTGTGACTGGCATTTCGGCGCCACTGGAAGGTAACGATTTATGTCACCTATTGCGGGTTTCAGAATGGCATCCTTGGTAGAAAAGGTCGTTCCATCTGCGCCCAGTTGATGCCCAGCGATCACGGCCACGCTCATCGTTTGCGGGAATCACGACTGCTTGTATGGCACAGAGCTCACAAATTCTCTGGAGAAAGGCTAGAAAATGCTCCACCCTTAAAAATTCATATTTCCTTACAGTTCGAAGGAGCATTTTCGTCAATTGCACAACAGGTTTTAGGTAAATAAAGTGTACATATGACGTTCATTTTGTTCGCTGTGAACTTTCGTTCTCTTTGCACATTTATCTGCGTGTCTGCAAAGTTGGTAAATATTGTAGTGGCGAGTAAATGCATAGAGCGAATCGGTTCGCTAACCATAAGATTTCTGTAAATAAGTCGAATCCATCAGCTAATGCATAAATATCAAACTTCAGAAAGACTGTAACCATAATTCCACGATCGCTTCAGCTATTTATTCTGTAGAATGGTCAAGTTGTTCGGGGTGTCGCGCAGTCAATGGATCTCTTCCTGCAAGCCCTGCCCTGCCATCCTAGTTTTTATTTCACATGGTGCTAGGTCGCTGCCTCAAAATTCAACAGGGGAATAGAAACACTGACATATCAACGATTCCCCATTAAAGGATGAAGTCTCCGTTTCAATCCCTTTGTGGGATGCGGCACGCATTCTACTTCCATTCAGAATCGTAGTGGCTTATTGAATGCGATGTGGCCTATACAATGACTTGCGGGGGCCAGCCGATGTACAAGTCAGTGTTTTATCCTCCCAGACGAATCTGGTACCAATTTACCGTCCCCGGAGGGTAGAAGGCTTGGTTGGCCTGGGCGAGTGTCGACCTGGGATTGGAACCCAGACCCAGCGCGAAGTGTAAAGCTTTTGTCCTACACCACCCTCCGCCTCCTCCACCACTTTGTCCTCCACAATTATAGATGAAAAATCGTGTTCGAGAGTGACCACGATTCTGGCTGAAGGTCGAATGCGTGCCGCTTCCCAAAAAAAAGTTGAACAGCGACACGGCTGCCATCGTCCCAATGGAGGCGGTACTAAATCACAGAACTGAGACGGATACCAGTGCGTTTCTCGGTTCTAACATTTTCGCTCATATAGTGTAAAACTGAACTAAGACAACCACGTTCATTAATGACCATACTATCCACATTGTAAGAGCGAGGCCGTATCAAGCCCACTTGTCCACCCCCACCTCCGCACTGAATCCAACTGCCTTTTTCGGGACACGACTTCATTGTACTTCAATGAGAGCAGTGCTGGCCTCACTGATATGCCATGTGCCTAACAACGCCTGCGCGGATCTAGTCGATGTTCAAAAGTCAATCTTTCAGATCCACAACGGCCGTTCCGAGGGAAATGTGTATGCTTCGCATTAGGCTGAGTAAGAGGGTTCTGAGATTTGATGCCGTGGATCGCGCACGTGTATGCCCGTCAATTTGCCACTAAGCGCTGAAAGCCTCGACATCGTGTGGCATACCGTGGCAATTCGAGGCTGTTCATGGAAATTATGTTCTTGCACATTTTGGCGCAGCCGAGGTGGGATATACTCCCACGAGGGGTCCTATTGGTCTGTGAAAAGGAGGATGAGGGCGGAGATGGACGGAAGCTTCTCAGAGAATGATCGCCTGCTTGCGACTTTTCCGACGGCGCTATAAACTGAAGGCGCGTACCGTCCTCGCGGCTGTTTTTGTTGAAGAGCTTGGCAGGTGTTATTGGAAGGTCTATCAAAGTAGGAAATCAGAATGGAGTTTTCATTATAGAAATTTCCTCAACGACGAACGTCGGCGCGCTCTGTGACAATAATGGGGCAACTTGTGGTCTGAATCGCTTGCAGATGAGCCTGCAACCACGAAGGAAGTGTGCAATTAGTAGGTAAAAAGAATGTCGCCAGGACTTTTATGATTATACCCACTAATGCACAGAATCCTGGCGCCTTTCAGGTTTTTTTTTTTCCAATATTTCTCTGTCATTTAGGAGGCACTTAAGCGCCCTATCGAGCTGCAACATACCAACCCGTACGCCCATCGCGCCTGCCCGCCCACAAATGCCCGACCAGTGCTCATATCTCTCCATTGCATAAAATATAAAACGAAGGATTGATATGAAGTCGCTGCGGCGCTGCATGGATATATGAGTGCATACATGCAGCCGTATCTACCGTAGCGGTTATTGGCACGACGCCCACGAAAAACTCATTGCTCCTGAAGCCGCGCGAACAGAAGCTTGTTTGCCGAGTGTTTGACCGTTCAGATCCCTCTCTCAGCCCTTATCTGTATGCGCACTCCTGCTACCTTTTATACGCGGTACTATATTATCCGCCTTTGCCTTTGGTCATTGAAGATATTTTGGCTATTCCCAAAGGTTTTATAACTCTACTATTGTTCTCTTATTTCACAATGACGTGTCGCTCCTCTCACTTATGAAAATTATACTGTTCCTGTTCAGATGCTGTGGCATCGAATCCTTGAAGTTCTGCAGACGATGACCACCATAACGCAACCGCCCACAGATCTTGAACGGACAACTCTTCCATCTGGTCAGTAAATTCACATTGTTTTCGGCTCACTTTTTGCAACCTTAGCAGTTGCAGCCAGAGGGAAATAACTCTGTTGTTTTATTATTCAACAGGTAATTCCGTTTTTAGTCGCAGTATCACAGTTTTCATCTCTGAGATCTGGGTAATAAGCTCAGCGTAGTTTTGAACCGAGTTAATCCAACTGATGTTACACAAACCAACTTATTATGGTTTTCCAACGATAAAACGACCATAATTGCAATGTTACTGGTCGAGTGTAGATAGAATTTAGCGGGTATCTTATCGTGTGCTAGGAGAGGGCGCTGTTATCTGATGAATGCAAAACCACAAGAGTCAATTACGCAAGATCTAGAGATTATAAGAGAATATCTGATCGCACAGACCTCACAACATCGATGGTCGTCGTGACGTTTCTCGTCACTCTCTTCTGCTCTGGTAAGCTTGTCAGAAGAACAAACTAATTTTTTGCTCTACTTCTCCCCCTCACCCCGTTTCCCTCATGACGGACATTTTTTGGGCTATTCTTTTTGCGATTTGAAACGGTTTCCCTAATTCTCTTGTTTGAATAGCTTCGAAAATGGAGGTTTTTTTTTGCTGAGCTGTTCCTAACATAAAAAAAAGAAAAGACAAACAGTTCTCATCACCCTCAGAGCACAGCCATTGTTGCTCTGTAGTTGCTTGTTATACTGGTCAGGCCCACCTCTTAACAACACTTGATATCGTAGCAATTAGCCAGGGCGTGGAATGAGCCTTTCCCATGGCGGATGTAGGCCAAACGCCTTTCCAGCCTTAATTTTTAATTTTTGTTTTTTGGATTCCTTCACATTTCCTGACCTCTATGACTTCCCTGAACGGATCTTCGAAGAAAGCAACAGCCGAAAAGGCGTGGCTTGGTAGCTGTTTCGCTAAGAAGCAAATTCACCGCTTGTAAAATCGCGCCCGCATCAACTAGTTTGATATGCTTTTTATACTACCTGACCACTTTAACAGAGATGACTCCCGGCTTGATGAACGAAGTATTGCAAGGAATGATCCTCGAAAGCTATTTCGAAAATTTCAGATGCTCCAAGCATTCCAGAATAAAGGAGTTTGAAGCTACATAGATTTTGCTCATACAAGTTAAGATCATCAAGAGGCTTTAGAGCAGAGCAGTGCCCAAGAAAAAATTCAAAAAAATTGTTAGTATTCTATCATAAGTTTAGTTGGCGTCCACGGCGTGTTGCCGCGATCAAAATGCCCAGCTGCCGCCAGATATGGCAACGGTCCTCCACCAAAGTGTACTCTGCCGTCAGATCCTAACAATCTTCCACCATCTCAGCTTGAAAAATGGTTCACAAAGGATATGTTTGTGGTTAGTTTGAGCTATCTTCTATATCCTGTAGGAATATTTAGCTCTAATTCAGGACTTGTTCCCGTTTGCAAATCTTGGTTGGGGACCCAATCCGTGCCAGCCGTATTCATACGAGGCCTTCGTGATTGCTGCACGATATTTCCCGAACTTCGGTACAAGCAGCCCTAATTCGGTAATTTCCTTACTTTTTCAGAAGATGCAGTGAAGCTATGCAACATGGTTATAAATTTATGGTGCTGTTGATCTGTAAAATAGCCACGGTTTCTGAAGAAATTGACCATGAGCAAGACAAGACATTTCCATAATTCTATAGAGTTTGATTACTAGATACTTGGAATCCAATTTCACCCCCTGGGAACCTCTACTAGAGAGTCGTCTCATCCTCTGGGAGGCGATCGACTATACTCTGGGAGAAACTGTGGCAGTTACCTTTTGGGATTAGAGAACGTCATCCCAGTGTGCATGGTCCGTGCTGTGTCTTGTCTGAGCTGCTCGATTAGGGTACAACATCTTTTGGCGAATCCAATTAACACGTTCGCGGCGAATCGTGTACTCCCGGGAGTACACGCGCCTATTCGCTGGTTTTGTATTTTATTTGCTTTTTCCACTAACAATTGGATATAAATAATAATCAAACAATAGAGAAATAATATCCACACATTAGAAGAGGCGTGTATACCTGAAAAAATACTCAAAAACTTTCTTTTTAGGCGAATCGTGCATTCTTGGGAGTACACGACCCTCTTCCCTCGCTTTTTGATTTTTTTTCTTCTTTTCACTGCAATTATAAACAAACCAGTCGGATCGGCCGGCTTCGCCGGCCGATCCTCCTTCCGGGTGTGAAGTGGGTCCCGGCGAGAAGTTTTCCATGAGAGGGAGGGCCAGTCGGATCGGCCGGCCGATCCTCCTTCCGGGTGTGAAGTGGGTCCCGGCGAGAAGTTTTCCATGAGAGGGAGGGCCAGTCGGATCGGCCGGCTTCGCCGGCCGATCCTCCTTCCGGGTGTGAAGTGGGTCCCGGCGAGAAGTTTTCCATGAGAGGGAGGGCCAGTCGGATCGGCCGGCTTCGCCGGCCGATCCTCCTTCCGGGTGTGAAGTGGGTCCCGGCGAGAAGTTTTCCATGGCCGATCCTCCTTCCGGGTGTGAAGTGGGTCCCGGTGCTTCGCCGGTCGAATGGTCGAAAAAAAATTGTTTTGAGAATTACCGCACTTTGCCGTTTCACTGCTAGTATATACCCCCCTAGCAGACAGTCAACAAAATTTTCTATACAGCGCTCCAGTCAGTGATGAGGAACCACAGAATAAACGGCACCAACCACTTGGTATACTCCCTACGGTTATCCCTTACTAACATCATCTGCCCAACCATTGCTCATTTTCACTTACTCCCCATTTCCTGGAGTTTTTCGGATGTATTTTGAGGGTTTTTATCCCCGGCACCGTTCACTTCGGCGCACGCCCTGCCCATCGTGGGTGTGCTTCATTCATTCCGTCCGCCAACTGTTTGCCTATCGTTTCCCACAATTTCCGCTCTCCGGGATCTTCTGGAACCGAATTACGAATTTTTGAAAGTTCTGTAGCGAGCACCGCCCACCTATAGCACGCCTCGCCCATCACGGGTGTGACTCCCTCATTTCATCCGCCAACTGACTGCTTATCGTTTCCCACAATTTCCGCTCTCCGGGATCTTCTAGAACCGAACTACGAATTTTTGAAAGTTCTGTAGCGAGCACCGCCCACCTATAGCACGCCCCGTCCATCACGGGTGTGACTCCCTCATTTCATCCGCCAACTGACTGCTTATCGTTTCCCACAATTTCCGCTCTCCGGGATCTTCTAGAACCGAACTACGAATTTTTGAAAGTTCTGTAGCGAGCACCGCCCACCTATAGCACGCCCCGTCCATCACGGGTGTGACTCCCTCATTTCATCCGCCAACTGACTGCTTATCGTTTCCCACAATTTCCGCTCTCCGGGATCTTCTAGAACCGAACTACGAATTTTTGAAATATGTAGCTCACAACTGTGCGCACGCCCCGCCCACAGTGGGCGGGGCTTAGCTCGGTTCACGTGTGTTCCGTACATCTTGGCCCATGCCCTACCCAACCCACCCTTGACCCGTCCCTTCTAGCTGGCTCTTCAGGTGATTCCGAATTTCCGGACAGACAGACAGACAGACAAACAGACAAACAGACAAACAGACAAACAGACAGACAGACGTTGCCGTTTATATATAGTAGGATAGATAGATCATCAAGTACCCTCCCAATGGTAAACAGCTGTGAAACTACTGTATAGTCAATGTGTGGTCTGTCGGTATTGGATGTTTAGTGGATGAACGGAAGCAGGGTGCATTTGCCTAAATTGTTGTGCAGTAAATAGTGGGTAAATAAACAAATAAATAAACATACTCATTTACGAATCCTTGATTTTGACTCCCATTCACTATGGCACATACCGTTCACTGCTATTATGCCACAGCTGTGTTTTGGGAACCGAATTATGAATTATTGCCGACGGCACCAACCACTTGGTATACTCCCTACGGTTATCCCTTACTAACATCATCTGCCCAACCATTGCTCATTTTCACTTACTCCCCATTTCCTGGAGTTTTTCGGATGTATTTTGAGGGTTTTTATCCCCGGCACCGTTCACTTCGGCGCACGCCCTGCCCATCGTGGGTGTGCTTCATTCATTCCGTCCGCCAACTGTTTGCCTATCGTTTCCCACAATTTCCGCTCTCCGGGATCTTCTGGAACCGAATTACGAATTTTTGAAAGTTCTGTAGCGAGCACCGCCCACCTATAGCACGCCTCGCCCATCACGGGTGTGACTCCCTCATTTCATCCGCCAACTGACTGCTTATCGTTTCCCACAATTTCCGCTCTCCGGGATCTTCTAGAACCGAACTACGAATTTTTGAAAGTTCTGTAGCGAGCACCGCCCACCTATAGCACGCCCGCCCATCACGGGTGTGACTCCCTCATTTCATCCGCCAACTGACTGCTTATCGTTCCCACAATTTCCGCTCTCCGGGATCTTCTAGAACCGAATTACGAATTTTTGAAAGTTCTGTAGCGAGCACCGCCCACCTATAGCACGCCCCGCCCATCACGGGTGTGACTCCCTCATTTCATCCGCCAACTGACTGCTTATCGTTTCCCACAATTTCCGCTCTCCGGGATCTTCTAGAACCGAACTACGAATTTTTGAAATATGTAGCTCACAACTGTGCGCACGCCCCGCCCACAGTGGGCGGGGCTTAGCTCGGTTCACGTGTGTTCCGTACATCTTGGCCCATGCCCTACCCAACCCACCCTTGACCCGTCCCTTCTAGCTGGCTCTTCAGGTGATTCCGAATTTCCGGACAGACAGACAGACAGACAAACAGACAAACAGACAAACAGACAAACAGACAGACAGACGTTGCCGTTTATATATAGTAGGATAGGATAGAGATCATCAAGTACCCTCCCAATGGTAAACAGCTGTGAAACTACTGTATAGTCAATGTGTGGTCTGTCGGTATTGGATGTTTAGTGGATGAACGGAAGCAGGGTGCATTTGCCTAAATTGTTGTGCAGTAAATAGTGGGTAAATAAACAAATAAATAAACATACTCATTTACGAATCCTTGATTTTGACTCCCATTCACTATGGCACATACCGTTCACTGCTATTATGCCACAGCTGTGTTTTGGGAACCGAATTATGAATTATTGCCGACGGCACGAACCACTTGGTATACTCCCTACGGTTATCCCTTACTAACATCATCTGCCCAACCATTGCTCATTTTCACTTACTCCCCATTTCCTGGAGTTTTTCGGATGTATTTTGAGGGTTTTTATCCCCGGCACCGTTCACTTCGGCGCACGCCCTGCCCATCGTGGGTGTGCTTCATTCATTCCGTCCGCCAACTGTTTGCCTATCGTTTCCCACAATTTCCGCTCTCCGGGATCTTCTGGAACCGAATTACGAATTTTTGAAAGTTGTGTAGCGAGCACCGCCCACCTATAGCACGCCTCGCCCATCACGGGTGTGACTCCCTCATTTCATCCGCCAACTGACTGCTTATCGTTTCCCACAATTTCCGCTCTCCGGGATCTTCTAGAACCGAATTACGAATTTTTGAAAGTTCTGTAGCGAGCACCGCCCACCTATAGCACGCCTCGCCCATCACGGGTGTGACTCCCTCATTTCATCCGCCAACTGACTGCTTATCGTTTCCCACAATTTCCGCTCTCCGGGATCTTCTAGAACCGAACTACGAATTTTTGAAAGTTCTGTAGCGAGCACCGCCCACCTATAGCACGCCCCGCCCATCACGGGTGTGACTCCCTCATTTCATCCGCCAACTGACTGCTTATCGTTTCCCACAATTTCCGCTCTCCGGGATCTTCTAGAACCGAACTACGAATTTTTGAAATATGTAGCTCACAACTGTGCGCACGCCCCGCCCACAGTGGGCGGTGTTCCGTACATCTTGGCCCATGCCCTACCCAACCCACCCTTGACCCGTCCCTTCTAGCTGGCTCTTCAGGTGATTCCGAATTTCCGGACAGACAGACAGACAGACAAACAGACAAACAGACAAACAGACAAACAGACAGACAGACGTTGCCGTTTATATATAGTAGGATTCATAAAATAAATAATATACAAGTAATAGAACATTCTCTGTATTTTTTGGAACCAGGTGAGGCAGTAGTGGTCCTTACAAGGGAACTAAGAACTTCCACAAGAATCAAAGTCTATATTCTCTTTGTGCGGTACTACTGAACATCAAAAAGGGCAAGAAAGCTAGTTCATTTACCGGAACTTAGATAAAACTTGTAGAAGGGGGAAATGTAAAAAGAATGGCGAAAAAACGGCTTTCGTTAATTTTAGGCGTTCATGGTTCCGTCGCGAGCGCGCAACCATGAACGGGATGACTGCCTAAGTGTCGCCCTCCGCGAACGCGTCTTCGGGAGTTTTTGACGAAACGGCTTTTTACCCGTCTCACATGTGCTGTTTAGGAGAGGGGTCGTGGCAACCTTCCCCCCAAAAACAAGGGAGGGGAGGGGGCGGGGAGGGGTTGGACGGCCGAACACAGAGGGTAAGACTGCGTCAATAGAGTGCAATATTACAAAAGTAACATCACACTGGATACCGTCGACCACTGTCGCGCGCTGAGGGGTTCCGGGAGACAGACAACACAGTCGTG